ATGTGTCTGCATGCTGGTTCCACCGCAGGCTGTCATAGCAAAGACAAGCGGCATCACTTTACCATGGGATTACACAGGATAAGATATGAATAGATAGTATATACCATATTATTGCTATAGATGTGGGAACAATAAAAAATTGCTGACATGCCAAGATAATGCCATCCAAACCCAGCGCAATAACCCATGAGAACCACGTGGTATCAACATCAACCCTGCCTAGAATCCTGGCTGCGGATTGCAGCGACAACTTTGGAGGCAAACTAGCTGCAGAGCCTCGAGCCATGATCCTTGCTAATCACAGCAGGCTGGACCAAGACACATTTGCAGCTCGCAAAATACCAAGCCACTGCCGACGCACATTGACCTTATAGTGATCTTGGTGTTGGCCACTGCGCTGGCGGGAGGCCAGCTACAATCAGCTACAGCCAAGCGTGACAGCACAAGGCGTAAACAGTGGGGATACGAGGTCAAAATGTGTGGCTGGCAACCCAAATTCGATATGCATGCGAAATTCACTGAAAGTTGTTCCGAGCCGCACATCAGGAAGTTGACTAGATGAGGCGAAGTCAGCAATATCTCGGGACAGCTTGGGTCTGACTGAAGAGCGGATGGGTTGGCCCACAGGCTTTCCACTCACCAAGGGTTGCAGCGCTGCGTGTTCGCCCTGCGTGGTGCAACGCTGCCCTGGCTAACCAGCTCTGGTTGTACCTGGGCTGTGTCGGGACGTATTGGATAGTTTTGGAGAACATGGGGGAACACTATTATGGAATTGAGGTGAAGTGAATGGTGGGCTATAGATGAGCAACGGCAAGTCATGGAATCACAAGCGGAAGTGTTATCTTGAGATATCTTCAGTCTCATCCTCCGGATGTTAATTTGGCACGGGTGGTAAAGCCGGTGTTCACATATGCAAGCCACTCACCACACGCCGGCAGGCCAAGCTCCAGGAGCGCGTAGGCCCCGGCGTAGGCAAGGGACTCAACACTGTGCTGCCCGCCCAGCGTTTGCTGGGTTAACATGCCAAGGCAAGGTTGGTTCCTGGCAACTTCCGGGTCTGCTGTGGCAGGTGGTGCGCCCCAGGCATCACACGCAGCGCATCTTCTCCACCACCAATGGCTCCTGTCAGAGACGGTCAGGCAATGTGAGGCACAGGCATGTGTATGGTAGCGTGATATAGCGTGCATAGATACAATCTACACTTGTCCAAGTATCTAAAGTAACCACTCTGTTAGAAATCTTCAAAGACAATTCGCAATGCCCAGAGGGATGTTACAGTGCCGATCATCCATCTGCTGCCAATTTCAGTGGAGTCTATGTATTATGCAATTACTTGAGGCTGCCCTGTCATCTCCCTCACTCTCAACCGTCCACACTCATGGCCAACGCGCCTTGGGTTGTGTTTGCCATGCTGTAGCCGCATTGTCTAAGGCAATCCGAACACCCTGCTGCGCAAGCAGCGATGCATTGAATGCAGCTCGAGCAATTGGCGACTTCAGCAGGAGCCATAGCCAATAGCACTCCGGGTAGCACTGCAGGAACTGCAGTGAGGCCTCACAACAACGCATATCGATTGGTACCACCTACAAAGGCCACAAGGCCTTGAAGGCAGCGATGTCCGTCTTAAGATCACAATATATCATGAAAATGACCTGTTGATGAATGGCAATGGTTAAATAATGCCGGAAAACATTGTATGCAGCGATGAAATGCCCCATATTCTGGAGGAATCAATAGGTGCAACAAGTGCAGGACCTCCTATGGCCGTATTGAGTGGGTGTGGCCACAGTCCAACATCTTAGTTGTTAAACACATGTCTCTAATTCTCAGAGCTTGTCAGAGGCTGCACCCTGGAACGGCAGCGCAGATGAGCCATTGGCCGTTCGAACGACTGGCCAAGTAATGACACGACATGTACCATACGTGCATAGACGCACCTCGTTCAATGGTCTTGTCTTTGGGAAAATCCCCGGGGAATACCATGAAACATCACGAAGCCCGGAACAATCCAAAGCAGCAGTTCATGGTAAAATATCAAAATCCACGATTGTGCCATCCACCAGAAGTCTCTTCGATTGTCTCCCCTATGCCTATTCCCACAGCATGTAACTGAGTTCATATGAGTTCATCCTGACCCCGCCATAGTGCAGGAAGCTGATAGATTCAGCATCCCCATGTTGGAGCAGGCATATGTATCTCTCTTTCTAGTTATATATATATATAGATATCAAAATGTGTATGCTACCCAATGCTACCCACACATACATGGGCATCACTCAGCACCAAGCCAAGCTTCAGCGACACGGCCGCCGGCCCATGCGTCATCCCCTATATGCACTTGCGAAACCAGGTTAGCCGCCAGCGTCCAGCAGCTAAGTTTTCTTGAGCCATGAACGAAAGCAAGCACAAAAGGTTTTTGTGCATGTCATCCTTGAACAGGGGGCCATGCTGGCCTTCTAATGATTCCATGAAGACACTTCTTGATTTGTACGTGTCATCCTTTGAAAAAACGGACATCTCACCACACTCCCCCATGCTGTTTGACAGCATTTGGAGGTGAGAAATCCAACAGCCAAAAAATGGACAGTAAAAACTCTGTCCCATCACTGCGGCCCTACATGTCCTCCTCTTCGTTCTCCGGCGAAGCCAGGTGATCACCACCACCTTCGGGTTGGTCTGTCACCAGGGAGAAATCGTCAGAGGGGTTTTCGGACTCCACAGCTTCATCATACTCTGAGTCCCCATCGCCAATCGTGGCGCCATGGAGAAAATCCCAAAGCTCTGCATCGCTGACACTGGATCTGCTTGATCTCAGATATCTCGCCCTCCTGTGTTCCGGCGCTTCGTGAGGGCGCAAGGGAGGTGGAAGGGGAGCCTGAAGTGCTCGCAAGGTGGCATCGTTCACGAACTCACCCTCCCGAATTGACATAGTTGGTCCATTTGACCACCGGTTGACGGGCCTCCCAGGCCTCATCAACACCGAGCTTCCAGGTGGAATGCTGCCGTATCTACCCTTTCCACCGAGCGGAGGCCTGGACCCTGACGATGGCCCTCCTGGATTCCATGAAGCAGCCCCTAATGCCGTAGAGCTCGGCGGAGAAAACGAACCTCCAGGGCTCGAAGTTGTCGGAGGCCTCCGCCCCAAGCTCGGGCCACGGCCGCCACCATGAGTTCCAGCCACAGACCATGCAGCTCCCGTCAGATGACGCCGATGCAGAGACAGTGGATCCAGCGTGCCCGTAGCGACTGGCAATGGTATTGATTGATGCCTTGGCGGCAGCACCCCTTTCTGCGGCTGTGGGATGCCCCCGTCTAACCGGGTTACCTGGACCTCGGTTAGGTGGTGCTCCATCGCGCGACGACACAAAGGTCCGTCGACGGCTCGAGCTCGAAACCCCAAACTGCCGAGGCATGTTCCTGCCATCTTCTTCTGGAGTCCAGACAATTGTGTCTGGTTGGATCCGAGGCTGTTGAGAGGAGCTTCCACCGCCCTGTGAGCTTTCTCTCAAGCGGAAGAAGGTCCAACCCCTCCATTGGCCGGACACCGGCGGTTGTGGAGGTACCTGTCCAAGGTACCAGTTGTCATGCTGGACACTTTTTTCCCAGCCGTGAACCCCTGACCACCATATGACCGAGACCCGTTGCGCTTCAAGGTCCTCGGTGCGAACTGGGCAGCTTCGGTGTACTGGATGGAAGAGTCGGCTCCGAAAAGAGCGATGAATCCTCACCACCCAGCCCCCGCCAATGGTGATCCACAGGTCATCATTTGCCGCGCGGCGGTTGGTTGAATTCCGGAGCCTCCCATGGCCTGGGGCCAAACGTCAAATCAGCCCTCAAGGCGCTGAGGCGCGGGATCGCCGAGGATCCCTCGGTGCAACCGATGGCTACAGTGTCCAATGCGGCCAGTGCGGGTTCATCGACCTTCGCATCGACCTGAATTGGTCTGAGCTCGGTTTCTCTCAGGCACCCTTTTTCAATGGCCTGCGCCTTCACGGCGTTCCTTTCGGAGTTCATTTGATGCTACCAAGGCCGTTATTCCCAAGGTGGTAGCCAACCGTTCCATGTCAGAAAGATGGCAACATTTCAACACCGTCCCAAGAGCAACTACTGCAGTGAGAGCCGCGACCTTCATTTTTGAAGCCACCAAAGCTCCCCCCGACCCTTCCAAGTGCTCTTCCTTCTCTGAAGCTCCATCCACCAGTCCCATAAACTTGTAGAACTTCTCCCAGAGCGTGGCCGCAGAGATTGATTTCGTGAGCAAATCAGCTGCCAGCTCGCTCCCAGGCACATGTCTGCCCTTCCAGAGCCCCCACTGCATCCGCTCCCGTAGCACATGGCTGCGAAGCCGAAGATGCCTTGTCCTCCATGGACCGTCTGGGGACTCCAGCAGCTTGAGCCCTGAAAGGCTATCTCCGTAAAGAACCTTGTCTCCAGACAAGGCCACCTGGTTCTCCTCCAAAATTTCCACAATGGTGGATACTGACTCGCCCAGCACCATACCATCACAGTACCCAACCAACTCTGACTCGGTCGTTGAGAGAACTGCGAAAGGCTGCAAGCGAGAGTCCCACTGCACCGGAGAACCCCCATACAAGGCGATGAGGCCCTGATGTCCTCGCTGGCAGTTGGAACCCAAAGCGGCATCACTGTAGACCTCCAGGGTCCTCATACTTCGAGGGAATGCCAAAGAGTTGTCTTCCCCAAACCCACCTTCACATTTTCCATACTTCAGGCAAAGCTCTGGAGTATTCAGCAGATACCCCAGGGTATGTCTGCTGTATGTCAGAACCCGACGTGGGCACTTCGACACGTTCCGGCCCAACCAGGCCACAGCATAGCTCAAATCCGGGCGGGTTCTGCAAGATGCCCATAAAAGTTCGCCGACA